AAGGGTATTTATGATTTTTTTCCTTGAATAGAAGTTATCAAAATAGCCCATGTATACATTTAACATGAAAAACAAGCCCTTTATATCTCATTTTCTCTAGATGTTGGGGGTAGTAGAGGCAATGGATCAAGTCGAGCCGGGTTAAACCATCAGCACGAACTTTTATTTTTGTTAAGTTTTACAGAATTGAATGAAAAATAACACAACACAAAGTCCTTTTTTGCATGAAATTGGCTACATTAAAAATAAAAGCAAAAAATTGTACACTGATTCAAAATCAAAAAGGTTTTTGGTAGTGAAATGGTTTAATCCATCTCATGTCTTTTTGAAATTTTTTGTTTTTAACTAATCATGCTCTCACTGGACAAGATTTATGGCTCTGCCCCTATTCATATCGACAATACCTGACCCATAACCACTAGTTGGCATCACTTTGTTGGCTTGACCAGGTTCGATTATCATTTTCCCTTGAAATGACTTGACTTTAGCAAGTTGGATATTTGTCGCAAATAATATTAAAAAGTAGTTTTTTTTTTTTTATTTGTGCGTTCAAATGAATTATATTTCACATTCAATTATATCAATTTGAAAAACCAAAATATTTTCCCCTACCAAACATCATAAGAAACAATAAAAATAAATAGTTACAATAAATCAGAAGTTTTATGATACTCAGAAAAGAAAATACGAAAACTATGCATTGCATAAACCAAATTAAACATAATACTAGTTGTATTAGCAATCATGAAGAACATAAAAATTAGATGCAATATGAAAATAAATCAATTCCAATCTTCTGGATTGTCCACTCATCTACATGGGCATAGCAAGAGACCGAGCCGGCTCGACTCTGGTCTTGGCTCCTGGGTTTCTTAGCGATTAGGATTGGGGCCATTGGGCTCGGCCTATGAGCTCGGCTAGTAATGGGCCAAACCCAGTTGTTCATGAGCCGTCTCTTAACTTTTTTTTCTTTCTTTAATAAAAATTTCCATTTTTCTCAACATGAAAAATTGAAAAGAAAAAAAACCGGAAGCTACTATGGTCATGATCAAGCAACTAGTAGTCATATCTATCCACATTTCCAAACACAATATCTTGAGTACCAATGATGGTGACCATGTCTGCTAGCATCTGATGTTTGAACATAGAATCAAGTTGTTGTGAATGGGCAAACAGGTCCTCTTATACACGTGAAAATACACGGTTTCTTACTCGTGCAAAGGAACTATTTCTTGGCAACTTGGATAACTTATAACGATGCTTTTCCATGCGTCACTAGGAAGATCAGGATCTTTACAAAAGGTTTTATAAATCTTTTGCCTCAATATGAAGTTCATGGACTATTGTCTATTTGTCTATAGCCCCTCCACAACATAAATTTGTTGGGTTTTGATATTTTCTTTATGCCCATCAAAGGACCTCGAGATGCTAATCCACGAAAAACGATTCGAGAAATTCTAAAGATCTTATATACAGAACGAGGGCGACCCGTGAAAATACTTCGGTTTCTTACTCGTGCAAAGGAACTATTTCTTGGCAACTTGGATAACTTATAACGATGCTTTTCCATGCGTCACTAGGAAGATCAGGATCTTTACAAAAGGTTTTATAAATCTTTTGCCTCAATATGAAGTTCATGGACTATTGTCTATTTGTCTATAGCCCCTCCACAACATAAATTTGTTGGGTTTTGATAGTTAGTAAATCACGGGCAATAATGTTCAATGGAATTAAATTTCATAAGCCTCAACCGATAAGTGAAATTATTATCAACACATCAATCGAATGACTCGATCCGAAAACAATTGAGCTGCTCATGACCCACATATACTTATTGAAGAGCTCTTATAATCTTGGCCCATTTACCCTTTAATTTAGCCCAACTCGGTTTTCTAATCTATCTCGATATAGCGTCCAATTTTGCCACTGCAACCATGTGAGTTTATTTGGTAAAGAAATTGAACAATATTGAAGCAGCCGTCTTTTTTGCTCTCTCTTTGTGCTTGAGTTTTTAACCATTGCTTCCTCTTGTTTTCTTTTCCTTTGTGGCTGCAAATAATCACCATAGTCTTGTCCTTTGTCGGTGAAAGATAGTAGCGACCACAAGTGAATCTTTGAGTTGTGGATTGAGTATGGTTTGATATTGGTTAGTTTATGCTGAGCCTCATCAAATCAAAGTTTTTGGATCAATCTTCCCCAACAAAATTGAAGTTAATGATTAATATGGAACAAAATTGAGTTTGGTGACTAAACTTGAACACGCGAATAAGTCGATGAACCAAGGGGTTTCTTAACCCAGAAGACGTGCCATGTTTTTGCATATGGTTATAATATTGGTGCTTACAAATTTTTCAACCATACATTTTATCTATTTCTATCAAAATTTGCTAAAAATCTGATCTTAATCACCACCACACATAGGCTCAATCATATCAATTTAGAATACCAAAATATTTTTCCCTACCAAACATCATAAGAAACCATAAAAATTAATAGTGCCAATAAAACAGAGATATGTTCTAAATCAGGATCACAATAAAACTTTAACAAGAAAAGAAAATACAAAAAATATACATTGCATAAACCAAATTACACATTATACTCGCTGTATTAATCACTGGGTTGATCAACCTACCTTTTTGGATATGGATTAAACTATTTGTACACACAAAGTGTACACTTTGATTGACATCTATGTGTCAAAAATTTAACAGTTAATTGAACCTCCTATAGTTCAAAAAGAATGGAATTGTGCAATTAAAATTAAAGGGAACCCTATGATCATTTTAATTCAAAAGCTAAAAAAAAAATGGCTAAAATTGTTACTATATGAAAGTAAATCAATTCCAATCTTTTGGATTGTCCACTCATCTACTTGGGCATAGTGAGAGGTCTGCCGACTCAACTCTAGTCTTGACTCTTGAGTCAGCAAGCCAAGCTCTTGTAGGGATGACAAAATGGTTCGTCGGCTCGGATCACCCGTGGCTCGAAACCTCCGAGCCCGATTTTGGGGCAAAGGCTCGAGCCAAGGCGGCTTGCTGAGCCAACTCACTCAAATATATAATAATAATAATAATATTAATAATTTTTTGGCTGAACAAAAGCTCGGCTCGGCTCGGGCAAAAAAAAACTTGATACATTTTTACTCTAGTTGAGCCCGAGCTTCGAATTTCGGCTCGTTAATACCTCGAAGCTCTTGGTAGTTTGCTGACCAAGAATAGGGATTGGACTCGGCCCATGAGATCGGCTAGTAATGGTTCAAGTCGAGCTATTCGGGAGCTATCCCTGAGCTTTTCTCCTTTCTTCATTAAAAGTTTAAAGTTTTTTCAACATAAAATAAAATAAATTGGAAGCTGCATGAAGTTCATGGACTATTTGTCTATAGCCCCGGGAACGAAGAACGACGTTGAAATAATATGGAACAAAACTGAGTTCGATTACAAAATTTGAACACACGAATAAATTGACAAACTAAGGGGTTTCTTAACCCAGAACACGTGCCATGTTTTTGCATATGGTTATGCTATTGGTTTACAGGATCCACTTGGAATTACTAATATCAAACTACCTGCATTTCTACAATAAGAGAATTTTTCTAGTTTCTCCCAAAGTCCCAAGAAACGTTTGTTAAAAATTATGCAGTAATGTCAATAGAAATAGTACACCTTAACCAAATATGATGAATGCCTAGTCCCATTAATTACAATCAAGTATGCATCAGATCCCTCAAAGCAGCCATGACAATCAGTTTGAGCAATGGAATTCCTCCAACGAGCATTTTATGTTTTATTTATACTCGATGATACTACTACCTCGATTCTGTAAATAGGATTCAAACCAAACAACAGTTTCATAAAGTAAAGAAAAAATTAGATTCAAAAAAGTATGAATTGTTTTACAGCAAGCCTCAGTTACAAGAATATTGGTTTCCATGACTTGGAATTACTGATATCAAGCTGTTGACCTACATTTCTACAGTAAGAGAAGCTTTCTACCAAGAAACAATCTTGAAAAAGTTTGGTGATAAGAATATCAACAGAGTGGTGCGTTTAATTCCCGTCAAATGCACATCCAAACTGTTAGCTTTAGCAAAGCAACCACAACAATCTGTTCAGCAAACAATCCCTTCCCAAACAGCATTCCTCAGTAGAACAAGTTTTTAAACTCAAAAGCTTCTTGTACAACAAATCTTCCATTCTTTTAAGGTTTCTATTAGTCATCCTTAATATCTTCAAAAAATGATTCCGGCACTTCTGATGGCGAAGATAATGTGGACACACATTTAAACTGTTGCGAGAGATCATGAATGTTCAACATTAGTACACCCTTTGATTAAGTTTGCAATCTGTAAGCAAAGTAGCACAAAAACATGTCGATAAAAGCAAATGTATTTACCTTGTGCTGACTGTATTTTTCCCTCACTGCCACTAAAGAACTTCCTTTTCTACTCAGTTGCAAATCATGTAAGATACCTACACATTCTTTAAGATCAGCTGCTTTATATCCGGATTGACATTGTAGTACCGAACTCTGCAAAGGATCAAAAAATTTATTCAGTGCAAAAACAGGTATAACACATTTCTCCTTTTGAGATGAGACTAAACAGTGTCCTTACCCAAGGATGTAAACTAGGCTGAAGTGTAAATCTCGCAAGGAACACAACCGAAGCAGCCACCAAAGAAGGCAAGAATTTCAAACATCCATAATCCAATAAACTTAATTCTGCTAGATAGTAACCCAAGAACTCCAATTGCAAATCAGGATTCTGTAGATGGAAACCAGTTTAAATGAGAATCGTCACACAAATTAAAATCAACCCAACTACAAGCGAAGGCATTAAAGAAAAAGCTTACCATGTGATCTTGAGGTTAAGACCACTTGGAAGACGTTTGGCAACAAGAAACAGAGTATTCCATTAGCAAAATGAACCATTAACTTTAATTTACAATTGCCAAATGGCTCCATGGTTAGCAATGAAAACATATTCTTTTAAAAATACACTACCTAAGAAATGTTTTGACAGTAGGATTGCCCATTTCAAACTTCAAAGAATTTAGCACATCAGACTCCATCTTCACCATTTCTTCCTTCGTATATGTGTTATCCGTAATGTAAACAAAATCTTCCAAATGTGGGGGATTAATCTCCTCATATTTCCTATACATGGTCAATACAATACAAACGCGTGTAAGGAATATCGATAAACACAAGCACTGCACAATGAATAGATTCAATCACATGACTTGGTGCTTACGAAGCAATGAGCATTGAAGCGACTCCAAGGAGCTGAAGCCTTTGTCGGTTAATAGCATTCAGCGACAAGAATCTATCAATGTATGACACTGATAAGTAAAGCGTATCTGAAAGAAGCTTGTATTCCTCAGCAACCTCGACTAACCAATCCACCAAAATCCCTCTCATGTTTGCAGTCACATCCTTCTGAACCTTTTCCAAGTAATCTGCCACTGGCCTTCTCTTAGCTTCCATCTGGATCATAAACTCAGTTTCATCAAAACCCCCATAATCCAATTTTTCCTCTTAAAATCTAGATTCCCAATCACAATAACAAATCAAAGAATTGAATATTTAATTTCAATTATCGAGGATTTAGGGTTTTGCTGTTAAAATGGGGAAAGAAAAATAATAAACCATGATTCAATTACTCAATGAATACTCTTCAGAAAATGAAAATGAAGAAAACCAGTGAATAACCTCAACCAATTTTTCCAGATCCAATATACTCATTATAATTTATACTCCATATTGAACTTTTATATCAATAGCTCACTAAAATTAGATGCTCTCAGCAACTAAATGCATTAACCCCAAAATTTGACAACGAACTCAATCCTTGACATCGAAAAACAGCAAAACCCAAACAGCAATAAATTAATTAATTAAATTTCCCATTAAACTCACCTCCATTTTATGAAGGTATTCATATATCCCAGAAACATAGGCTGCACACATTTGCGGGTCATCAGATTTGGCGTTAACATCAATTCCAACATCATCTTCACCCTCCACACTCTTCTTTTCCCTCTCTTCCTCCACGCTGACATCCGCTATCTCCACCGGCTTCTTAACCTTCCTATTGGGCTTCTTTTTCTGCTTTTGGTTCTCGAGATTCTGCTTGCTATTTTTGTTACTCGCCTCCAATGGCGCTACAAAATTCTGAATCTCGCCCAAAACTACTCTCTTCTTCTTGTTTTGTTGTTGCTGAGAAGTCATTGCCTCTGCCGCCGCTCTCTTCTTAGTCGCCAAGCGAGTCACCCTCGCGCAGTTCTCTTGGTCCGCCATTGTATATTACCACAACGAATGCAGATTCCAAGAAACCCAGAAAGATAGAGAGCGAGGTTTGTGAGTGTGAGAGTGGTGGATGCAAATGAGTTAAGGGTGTATGTATATAAGATAGATAGCGCCATAAGAGAGATGTTTGAAAAATTTTGAGAGAGCGGGGGAGTGTGTTAAAAACTTGAATGAAAACTGAAAGAGATTTTGATTTTTGTTTAATTTTGTCGATCTGCGTTTTTTCTCATTTTCAGGGGCGGGTTGGGGGGAGTGTTGAAAAGTTTTGATTTTTTTTGAATTTCAAGAATTTGAGATTTGTTTGCGACAGTTTCCCGGTCTGCAAATCTGATTCGGTTTCGATTTTGTTTCCCCCTTCTTTAATTGACGAAATCAGAGTCCAACAATGCTAAAACAAAAACATATACAATTTGTTGGTTGGGATCCTCTAGGAGTGACGAAATGTCTCGTTCTGTATTGTTTTGCTTCGAATGGAATAACAAAAATTTCTCAATTAAATGGGAAATTTGAGTGGAGAAACAAAATATGGTCGCTACCTCAACTCGAGTTTTATTTTAGGGATAATTGCAGCTGCGGTCCCAAACCTTTCAGATTTTTGCGCGTTTTACCCTAACCTTTGATTTGTACCAGCAGAGGTCACAAACCTTTAAAAAATATACGCCGGAGATCCAAATGGACGGATTCCATCCAGTTGACCATTTGTCAACCCAAAAAGTCAAAATTGATTCAATTTTGACAAAATCAGGAGGGGTAAAATGGTACTTTCAATATTTATCCCTTTTAAATAGGTTAAAATATTTGTTAAAAAATAAAAATCAATTTATAACACTTCTTCCTCCCACCCCACT